TTAGGTATTCACCTAGTGGAGGCCTTAGAATACAATAGAGAAATCACTATGGGTCCAAACCAAGGGGCAAAGTAATTAAGTACCAGATTCTTGGAAAGAAGCAGCGCTAGTGGTGGCACTTCTGCTAAAAAGGAAATTGAACAGACCATTTGAGAAATTACTAGGGCCTAAACTAAATATTGACCATAGCTTCAGAGAAAAAGATTGCTTTTCAGTTCAAGGGTACCTTTGAGTTGTATGCGTATAATAGTTATCTTTTTACCTTCGTCATAAGCAGTAACATTAACAGTGGAATCAAAGTTCAGAGCGCAAGTCCTCGTAATAGTATCCTTGTGAGTAAGCCAGGTAGGTAGTTTGTAATCCCTGGCCAGCTCTAGGCAAATAAGGGACACTGAGAGGTTGAACATTGAAACTTTCGAGTGCATCCTGATTCAAACATTAACTGTAAAATATTTTGTATCAAAACTTTCATATCTGCTGGGATACAAAAAGAAATTGCTTTGATAGTTAATCTTTGGTGACTAAAATTTTAATGGAGCTCTCCTATATTTACCTCTCAGTACTTCTCCAGAGTTTTACCCTCTGGGACCGGTAGTTCTTTGACAATATGTGTCCTGAGTATTGAGATGTTTTTTCCTCCCCAGACAACACTGCAAACTGATGAAGTTAAAAAATGTGCCTTGTGGAACAAGGTAAGCTTTCCCTCACCAACCTCCCTTTAGTTCAGACAGAGTTTCTGTTCATAAGCTCTAATCAAACATCTTTCAAAAGGCATGAAAGTAACCCCAGGAGTTTTTCTCTTCTGGGCATTATATGAGGAAAGCCCTTTCTCCAACAGGAGCTTTTTATCTTAAGAGCCATTAGGGTGTTATTGAAAAGAACCAGCAGACCTAACTTCATAAGTATATCAGGACTGCCACATCTGCTTTATTGAGTTTTGTGGGGTATTTTTTTTTAGCTAGACTTTATTCTTTAGTGCACTTTTAGGTTCATAGCTAAATTGAGCAGAAAGAACAAAGTTTCCATATAATCATTGCTGCCACACATGCCTTTATTGACTTTGCTAAGCCCAGTTCCCTCATTTGTAAAAATACTATCTAATAAAAATTAGAGTCACATGCAAATTAACCACCACTCTGCTACACCCACAAGCAATGCCCCAACAGCCAATCAGGAGTGAGTAAGCAAATTAACCCAACCAAGATGACTGCGGCCACGGAGTGAGCAGGAGGCTTGGGTTTCTCCAGCAATGGAGGAAGCCAAGCTTTCCGCACACCCTGGCGGACCCAGGTCTCTACTCAAGGCTACAAAGTTTCAATTATAGAAGATAGATAAATCCCAACAAAAATGGCGGTAGCCACAGAGCTGGAGAGAGCAGGAGGCTTGGGTTTCCCCTGGTGATGGAAGAATCCAAATTTCTGCAGCCCTGGCCTGCCTAGGCCTCTGCTACAAAGTTTCAATTATAGAAAGTAAATAAATCCCAGATACCAGGGCCTCCGCTTGGGGTCACTAGGGGGCGTGGCCAGCCTGCAAACCACCACAGGCCCCTCGCCCAGGCCTCCCCACACCCCATGGGAATCCCCACCCTGATCCAGGACACCCTTCAGGCAAACCAGCTGGCCTCCACCCATGCAGCAGGCCTCTAGCCTATCTAATAAAAAGAGTAATATATGCAAGTTGACCATCACTCCAACACACAAGATGGCTGCCCTCATGTGGGCACAAGATGGCCAGCAGGAGAAGGTAGTTGGGAGGGAGCAGGCCTTCAAGGGAGGGCAGTGTGGGCAATCAGGACAGGAGGGAGGGCAATTGGAAGGGACCAGACTTGCAAGGGAGGGCAGTTGGGGGCAATCAGGCCTACAGGGAGAGCAATTAGGAGTGACCAGCCTGGTAGAGGAGGGAAGGTGGGGTGACCAGGCCTGCAGGGAAGGATAGTTGTGGGGGACCCAGGCCTGTAAGAGAGAGCAGTTGGGGGGGACCAGGCCTGCAGGAGAGAGCAGTTAGGGGTGACCAGGCCTGCAGTGGGGGGTCAGTTAGGGGCAAACAGGCTGGCAGGGGAGCAGTTAGGCATCAATCAGGCTGGCAGGGAGTGGTTAGGGGGTGATCAGGCTGGCAGGCAGAAGCAGTTAGGAGCAATCAGGAAGGCAGGTGAGCAGTTGGGAGCCAGCAGTCTGGATTGTGAGAGGGATATCAGACATCCCTGTGGGGTCCAGATTGGAGAGGGTGCAGGCTGGGCTGAGGAATTTTGTGCACCAGGCCTATAGTAAAGTAATAAGACATATCTTGCAATTATACTAAGGGATAGAATTAGTGTATATGAAGTGCCTAACCCAGCACTTGATCCAGAGTAAGTACTCAATAACAGTTTAAAATGAATCATCTCACTTGTCATATGTAGTATTAAAAGCCATCTAGAGTTTCTGATTCAATAGGTCTGGATTGAAGCCTGAGAATTTGCATTTCTAGCAGAAGTTCTCAGGTGATGGTAATGCTATTTGTGGTTTTAGGACCTTATTATGAAAAAAGCTAATTTTAAGGAAAGAAAGGCAAGCAAGGCATATATTATTTCTAGAATATAATCAGTACATTGAATTGTATCAAAAGTAATGTAAAATTGAAGGTATTTTTTAAATGATTAAAATATTTATTACAAGCCAATATAAAAGAGGCTTTGACATCAGTGGAAGGACACATGCTTTTTAAAAGGGAGCAAATTTGATAAATTCTCTGTAGGTCTGTCTTTCACTTTTTTTAAAATGGATTCCCTTTAGAGATGACTCAAAATTGGCACCTAGTGAGATTTTTGGTAAATTTTATGTTAATCTTTTTGTTTTCCTATTTTTTCAGATTTTTAATTTTAGTGAGCATGTACTACTCTTTTCTTATCAGGGAGGGGTCGGGGAAATGTTATTGTAAATTGGTAGGAAGGCTTAGTTGTTTCGTTTAAAAAATCTCATGTACCTCAAGTTGAAATTCACATGTCCCTCATGGTAGCCCAGGAAGCATTTGAACCACTAATTAACAAGACCTATCTTTCTAGTGTGCCAGGTTTACTTGAGGGGGCAAATTTTCTTATACAAAAATAAATATGGATAAAACATAAAAACTCTTTGATTAATTATTAAGATAAAGCAGGAAACCAAAAAGATTTTTAAAGTGTGGCTGGCCTTCATATCTCCTGAGGAACCATTTTACTTGGTTTCTTTTTTTCTTTTTTAATATATTTTATTGATTTTTTTTTTTTTTTGCAGAGAGGAAAGGAGAGGGATAGAGAGAAATATCAATTAGCTGCCCTCTACACACCCACTACTGGGGATGTGCCTGCAAGCCAATGTACATGCCCCTGACCGGAATCGAACCCGGGACCCCTCAGTCCCGCAGACTGACGCTCCACCACTGAGCCAAACCGGTTTCGGCTCAGGGGATGTCTTATCTTTCCATGCGCTAGGTCTTATTTTCGGAGGATGTCTTATTTTGGGGGAAACACGGTAGGTACATGCCCTTGACCGGAATCAAACCTGAGACCCTTTGGTCTGTGGGCCGACGCTCTATCCATTGAGCCAAACCAGCTAGGGCATCATCTCTATCTTATAAATGAGGAAACAGAGACTGAAGATACTGAGGATTCTTGCCCAAGATGAGTAGCAGAGCTGTGATTCAAACTCTGGTCTATTTAAAGCAGTTCTTAATTTCTACTGTACAAGCTACAATGGAAGATATAAGTACAGGCAGCCCTTGGGTTATGTCAGATTCAACATACATCATTTTGTGGTTATGTTGCCATATCTCATTAATTTATTAAAAAAAAATTTCTGTTCATTTTGACATATGTACATATATGCTTTATGTTTTTTATTATTTAATTTACCACAAGTTAAGGTCAGGAATCATTGTTCTTTTAATTTTTTTTTTTTTACTGTTTCACTTCATTACTGCTGTGTATCTGCTCCACGTGAGTGACATAGGTGCTTACGTAGGTGGGCTCCCACTAAAATCACGTTTCGTCGCACCGTAGGAACAGATCTCCAACGTAACCCAAGGTCCTACTGTATAATGATTCTGATTTAGATGAGAGAAATGGGACTTAGGAAAATTAAATCAGTCTTCAAGCTACAGTCAACATGCATGGAGGCAACATCTGGGTAGCTAAAAAGGAATTACCTTTCACAGTGCAAGTCGGGAGAAGTGGGGGCTTGGAATTAGGTCTGGAAAGTAGAGCAGTTCT